GTAAAACTTGAAACTCTTTGCAGGGCTTGACCAAAATACAGGCTACTATCTAGGGGTTAAAAATTGAATATCAAAATATAGCTATAAAATATAACACCAAGCATGCTAGTTAGATTAATTTATATCTGTTGATTTTATTGTGCACCTACATAAAAAAATAATTTTTTAACACACTATCTTTTATACAGAGATTCCTAAAAAGGCTTTAATAATGACATATTTTTTCCTGGACAGTAATTTAGTAGGCATTCATATTCTAACGGTTAGAATCTAATCTCAAAATTTTATATTCATGTCAAATTTATTAGTGGCGTTTTATTTTATTTTTTTTATTTCAGGGACGACTTAACATATAAAAGAAAGCCAGGGTCGAAACTTAAGAGACTCAAGTGAAGAATATAAAATTGCGTTTAAACTTTATATAGAAAAAATAAAGAGAAGCACACAAAATTATTTGTTGGTCAAACCGAACAGTAAACTGTTTTTCCTAAAAAAAACTATTTTTCTTAAAAAAAAAAACGATTTTCGTAGCAGGATATATAAAATATGGTATTCTATCTTTCAAGTCGCCCCAATATTTTTCTACAAATACAATGTTAATGCGCCCCAGCCTGGGACGACTTAAAGAAACACCCGTTATATATTTTTTCTTGAGAGTAGAGGGGGGTATAATTTTTTAGGTATTTCACCCGTTAGCCACTACCCCAAAGTAATCTAAAATATTATTTTATTTCAATCAAATCGTCATAGTGATGGCGGCGTGTGCTCAAATATTCCAAAAAGTGTATCAAGTCGCCCCGTTTTATGGTACTAAATTAATTATTCCATTATTTTTTAATTTATTAATTATAAATATTTTATTCAATTTTTTTATATTTTTTAACGCTTATATTTTTTAATTTTTTAGAGGGTGTGCGTGCGTAGGTGGGTAACAAATTTTAGATAATATCTATATTATTATATTGCGAATAAGTTTATTAACACTTGTTTAATAAAAATTAATAGTATTTTATGCCAAAAAGCCTATGTTTAACTTTAAAAAAGTCTAAATTATGTATTATATCTATTGGTATTGATAAAATTAAAAAAAAATATTATTACAAAAATAACGTAAAAACTCATCAAAATAAATATGAAACAATAAATCTTATACCGGTTCAGGTAAGAAATACCCAAATAAGTTTGTTTACGTTAAGGCAATAATTTTCACCCCACCACCTCGCAATGGCTGCAAGCGAATATAAGCCTTAGGGTGGTACTGATTCAATGCACTTGACTGTACACCATGTAGAACCAAAGGAAGAGGAGGGGGAGCTGCAATATATATCAGGAAAAAAATAAACTTTAGTGTATCTCTGTGTGATATCGTAGAAAATGTAAATAGCTTTATAAAAATAAACATAAAAGACTCAAATACCAATATATGTGCAATATACAGACAAAACCAAAGTGACACAGACATATATAACCAGTATCTAGAAGAAAACATATTACAAACAAAAAACTTAATAATCGTTGGTGACGTAAACCTCAACCTATTAAATAAAAATAAGCAAAAAGAGATAGACTATAAAAACCTGTTAAAAAGCAATAACATAAAAATAATAAACAAAATTACTAGGAAACACATAACAAGAACAAATGAAAATGGAGAAAGTACAATAATAGATCATGTACTAACAAATCTCAATGCAAATTGTTTTTCTGAACTTAATTTAACTGATACGCCGCTAAGTGACCACAAATGTATTAAGTTTGAAGTCAAAATAAAATCAAAAAAGGCAGTGCAAAATAAAAATTATAATCATATTCGAACAAACTATAAACAATTAAAAGATAAACTAATAGCTGAATTCAATCATATGGAAGTAAACTCTTTTGAAGAATTGCAGAAGAAAATTAAAAAAACGCTATCAGAAAGCACAACAAAAATAAAAAAAATTGCTTCATCAGAAAAAGAAGGATGGATGACGTATAGTATATACACAAAAATCAAACAAAGAAAATTTCTATTTAATACCTGGTACACTAAAATGGTCAAAAATAGGGATTCAATTTACTGTAAACAAAAATTCAAGGAACATGATAAAGACACAAAAAAAGTATTAAAATGGCCAAGGGAAATTTCTATAAAAATCAAATAAGAGTGCAGAAGGAAATAATAAAAAACTGTGGACTATTATTAAAAAACTAGAAAACGGAGAAACACTTAAGGCAAATGACATCAAAGAACTAACAACTGAAAGTGGAAATAATACCTCGAGTAAAAAACAAATAGCGACAACTTTAAATAACTATTTTATTAATGTAGGTGAGAACCTAGCTAAGAAAATAAACGGAGAAAATCTTGGAAAGGATGAAAAGAAGTACGCGGCCACATCATCCATGTATATGCAACCGACAACATATAAGGAGGTAATAAGAACGATCAACAAACTTAAATCAAACTCCGCAGCAGGTTATGATAATATCAAACCAAAACTAATAAAAGAACTAAAAAACATTGCACCAATCATAACAAAATTAATAAACAACTATTTTAAACTAGGAGTTTTCCCGTAAGAATTAAAAATTGATAGAATCACACCTGTTCACAAATCTGGTAAAGAAACGGATCCCAGCAACTCGTCACCCTAATATAACAAGGTTGTATGTTAAAAAAAAAACGAAAAATTTAAGTCTATGTTTCTACAGGATTATACGTGGCCTACGCTTTACATACCACTTAAAAGTAATTCTATAGAATGTATATTCTATGTATACATATATATAGAGTTATTTTCAAGTTGTATGTCAATGGTGGATTACATAAAACCTTGTAGAAGCATAAACTCAAATTTTTCGGTTTTTTAACATACAACCTTGTTATATTAGGGTGACGAACTATCGAGCAATCGCAAATTTAACTGTATTTAGCAAAATATTTGAAACAATACTACACAATAGACTGGCAACGCACATACAAAATTTAAACATACTTTTAAAGGCACAGCATGGTTTCCAGAAGCAAAAAAGCGCCAAAACAGCTATGGCAAATCTATTAAATTTCATACAAACTAAAATGGATGAAGGAAAATGTGTAACTGCTCTTATATTAGACTTTAAAAAGGCGTTTGACACAGTAGAACCGTCAATATTAATAAAAAAATTAAAACAAATGGGAGTGACAGGGAAAGCGCTTGAACTGTTCAGATCTTATATAACAAATAGAAAGCAGTACACAAAAGTTGGAAGTGAAGTCAGTGAATGGGAAAATATAAATTTTGGGGTACCCCAAGGATCCATTTTGGGTCCTTACCTATACTTATTATATATAAATGACCTGGATCTGTACAATTTTTCTGGTAAGATAATGATATATGCTGATGATACTGCGTTTTTTTTTCTATGTAAATAATGATAACAAAACAACGCAAGAACAAATTCAAAATGACATTAACAAACTAGCGGACAAACACAAACAAGTTAACGATAAACAGTAAAAAATGTTATCTGATACATTTTGAAAACAAAATAAAAAACCATAATCTAAATATAAAAATCGGAAATGATGCTATTAGCGAAGAAACAAAAATTAAATACTTAGGTCTTATTCTTGACAAAAATTTAAAGTGGACATCACACATAAGAGCTAAAAACAAAAAAATGGCATATTATAATGGACTAGCGCATAAGGTAACTGATGTACTGCAGGAAAAGGAAAGGAAACTAATATATGAAGCCTATATTAAAAGCAAGCTGTCTTACCTAATATCATTCAACAGGAAACAAAAAAGAATTGGACAAATTGCAAAGAAGCCAAAATAAACTATTAAAGGCTTTGCACAGACTGCCAAGGCATACTGCAACAACTGTAGTATACTGTAAAACAAAAACCTTAACAATAGAAGAACTTAGAAAGCTGGAGACCATAAAATTGGTAAGGAAAATGTTAAACAAACAAATCCAAGACGAAGATATAAAAATAACAACAAGAGCCAATGTACATCAATACAGCACCAGAGGAAATCAAGAACTAAATTTTGTCACACATAAAACCAAAATAGGCGAAAAACGAATACTTCCAGAAGGCATCAAAATATACAACAAATTACCAAATGAGATCAAACAGCAAAATGAAATAGAGTTTGTTAAGAGCGTCAAGCAATATTTAGTGAACCAAAGACAAGAAAACTAGTGTACATAGGTAGATACTTGTTAATTATTTATAAAGATTTAATTTATTCGACCAAGGACAAAGATTAGTGTACATAGCCAACTTCAAATAATTTATAAATGACCCATGTATAATTTAATTATTTATTGCTAAATGTTAATTTTAAATTTATTTGTAAATTACATATCTGTCAAAGCTAATTGGATATTATTTTTCAATAAAAAAAAAAAACCTAAAATTTTAATGTTATTTCTTGATTATTAATTAGGCTTACTTAAGAATTCAGATAAATTATCAACTGAAAAATGTTTACAATTTAATTAAATACCCAGATCAATATTTAAAAAAACTTAAAATTTTAATGTTATTTCTTGTATGAATTAAAAATAATATGAATTAGAAAAAATAAATTTTATTTGTTTGTTGTTAATTTTTTAGGACTGTCCAAATAATTCGAATTAAAAATATCACTTTGAATTAAAAATATCGATTTATTGACGAATTAAAAAAAAGATTCCATTAAAAAAATTCACTTAAAATTTTAATGTTATTTCTTAATTGTTTGAATTACAAATAATATGGATTAGAAAAACTATATTTTTATTTAAAGTTGTTATTTTTTTTTTAAGACATATTTTTGATTTCGCAAATTAATTTCTGATTTCAGAAATTGAATTTGTGATATTTTTAATTGACAATTAAAAAATACTTTGGAGTTCCATAACCTATAGGTAACTTCAATTAAAGTAAATATTAATTATTAATCATGAAAAGAACTTACTAAGTGATATATTTAATCAAATACAATAAAACAAATTATTATAACTATGTAAATATTACAAACCTGCTCAGTCTTTTTTGCTATAAGGGCACCCATAATTTTACTAAAGTAGGAAGCCAATAATGGATTTAATTGAGGTTCACATTCTAAAAAACTGTATAGCTTATCGAGAAGTGCTTCATCACTAGCCAGCCTTTCATTTAAAGCAGGAACATCACATGTCAACAGTTCACAAGCAACATTTGGATATTTAAATCTACTACGCTCTTCTATTTCTAAAGACGGTTCTTTTGTAATTAACGTAACCAATTCTTCCATAACTTCTGGTTTTAACAAGCTAAAATATTAGGTTTCATTTATATACAGTTGGGTTTAAAGTTGATAATTATAACATACTAGTCAATAAGAGACTTATTTTGAACACGACAATCATTTATTATGTCTTCTGCATCCATAACCTCTTGTAAAGTAACATCCTAAAATTAAATAGTTAGTTTGGATACAGTATTTTGTTAATGGGTAAATTTCATATTACAGGACAATTTTAGATTTTTTCATGTACCTATAAGTATTTAAATTTTTTTATCTGACTAATATTTTAGTCTTAATTTCCAGTAACACTGTGATTTATACTATTTAGATACTGAATGGTATTGGAGATAAATAAATCATCATTTTGGTTAAGTTCACGTAAATGATGCATTAGGTTACCTAATTTAGGTACTGAAATGACTGAATTTAGACAAATTTTTAAATTATAAAATAGTATAGCAAGATGTTATAGTATTGTAGAACATTTACGAAAGTTAAATGTTAAATTACATTGAATCTTTTGCTAATATCCAAAATCTTTTTTTCTGTCAAAAAATTGCTTGGATGGACAGTTGTCTAAAATTGTCCCAGTATGTAAAATTGACTATAATATATGTTACCTCTTTGGCAAGAAGAGTATCAATCACAGAAGAAGATCCAGAAAGATGTTTCCAAAACATTTTTAATCAGTTTTTCTGAAAGAATCAGTTAACAATTAATCATGTAAATTATCCAAAAGTACAACTAATGTTCATTGTGCATTACAATTATACGATGATTTGGCTAGTATATACCTTTGCAAACTTTATAGAAGACAATTTAAGTTCATTGGGTATGACCTTTGCTATCTAGTTTAACTATACACTTACAAAAAATGCACATTAAACCGTTCTGTAGAGCATATCACAAATTTCACTTTTATTTTAAAGGTATTGGCTGCAATTAGTTGGTAATTATCTAAAAATATCAATAAATACTTTAACAATGACAAAAGTGACCACCATACATAATCCCACAATCACTTGTTGACACAAAATGACAGTAAATGGCGGCAAATTTAAATTACCCTTGGCGGCTTCTTTATACAATTTATTTAAATAATAATAATTTACCAAATGTATAGCAAAAAAGATTATGTCAAACTGACATTAATTGGACCGTTTCAAATTAGGCAAAGCATTATTAATTATACCGGCAGAAAATTTAAGTATAATTTTTTATTTTTAATTACCTATTAAATATTTTTTACTTTATTTGGATTGGTGGATAATATATTTTAGTTATAATCATAGTATGGGTTATAATGTAAACCAGGGTGTAAACTAAAACTTTAATTACACATGGGTGTGTACCTATGTAGGTAGGTAGCTACCTAGGTATTAAAAGTTGTAGGTATTTTAAATTGTTTAAATAATAAATCAAATCGATATTTGATATATATAGGGCCAAAATGTATAGAACCAAGTTAATTAAACGATAAAGGGGAAACTAATAATGAAAATGATGTAAAACTATTTTCCAATTGTATATTAAAAGGCGGGAACATTTGTATTTTATAGGGTCCATTTTTAGTTTACGTTGTTTTGTGACCAACTTTAAAAACCAAAATAACATGTCAAACTTTTCATAACCTATATATTTGTTATATGGATAACCTAATAAACTAATAAACTTTTAAGAATGTATTAAAATAATAGATATGTTAAAAATCAGGGCACTTAACAGGGAATCATCTTCGGATGAAGATGTTCCTGTTATTAGAAGAGAAGCGCAAGTATGTATACATTAATAAAAACTAATTTTGTCAAAACCAAAAAATTATAACAAATTATTTTAGGAAGAAATAGCCCTTGAACTATATAATAAATCTCTTAGATTTCAAAAAATTAATAATATAAAGGGGTCAGAAGCTATTTTATTAAAGTTAATTGAAGAAAATATTCCATTGCTAGAAAATAATGGGGGTCTTCCAAAATCAATGTCAACTTTAAAATTTTCTTGTTATCTTAATTTGGGACATGTATATCTAAAGCAAGAAAATACAAGTAAAGCCTTGGAAAACTATTTAACGGTATGTTGGCATTTTTTTCTATTCTATTCTATTCTATATCTATTCTAGATTTTTATGAACATACATCCTAAATGGCTTTATTTTCATGATGCACAGTGAATTTCACTGAGTAAAATACCACAGAACAAAGGGTGTCATACAGTTTTAACTAGTTAATTTTTTCAACAACACAATATCAGGGCTCCCACACCTTCTAAAACTCATAACATTCCTAAAATTTGGCTTAAATCTTGAAAACTCCTAAAATTCTCCTAAAATTGCATTCAATGTTCTAAAACTCCTAAAATCCTAAAAATTAAATTTAAATAGGCCAACCTGACTGCGTTTAATTAAGGTACCTAGTTGTCACGCTAAAAAATTCTTTTTTAAAAAGTAATTTAAAAATATATATTTTCAGGTTCTATTTTATTAAATTCTTTTTAAAATGATATTTTGTATTTGTATTTTGCAAACTTCATATTTTGTTATGAGATTTTTAAGTATTAAGATCCACATTACAATTGAATCAGCGAGAATAATAACACAAATTTAATTTTGACAATTTATATTCAAAAATTAATTTTTAATTTTAAAATACATTTTTGTGAAAAGATATAAATTATTTTACAGAGTATGAATATTATATTTCATAATATAGTTAAAATATTTTAACAAAAGTGCATTTTACTTTTGGACTTGTACTATTCTTAATCTTACCGATTGAAATATTAAAATATAGGTAATATGACTTGAAACCCTGAACCCTGAAACCTTGAACCCTGTTTTGTGTTATAATGGGACATAGTAAAACTGCAAATTCCTTGTACCCAGAGTGCTGCAGAGAGCGCTTTATACAATCTACATCAAAATTATTAACAAATTTAAATTTCTCGACCCAAAAAAACCCTATAATAATCACAAAATGGTATGCAAAAATATTGATTTAAAATTAAGTTATTTAGGAAAATTAAAAATTAAATTTTTACTGGGATACCCTGTATCTTGGTTACTATTAACTTTTAAACTAAGTCAAATGTCAAATCGTAATATTTTTATACAGTTTTACTGTGTACCACTGAAATTGAATTACATAGCTCATAAAAATAATTTCTACACTGGTGGAAAATTTCCGATTAAAACACTATTTTTTTTATTTTTTCACATTGCCAGAGAAGTCTGATGTTCTGCATAAATATGGCAAGTGATTTTTAGTATAAATTAATTTAAATTGTACACTTTAGGTTTAATGTACCCCAGTACAAAACATCCAATCAGGTCACATTGGGACTTTGGGAAGACCATATTAGGGGGCCCAATTATGTAATTCGATTTGGAGAAATATAAGGAAGCCACTTAATTACATTATTTTAGGTGTGAGAAATGGCTTCTTGCATAAACCAAGTCTGTTAACTATTTAACTTTACCTATAAACAAAGAGAAGGCCCTAGAATTAACAATTACTTGTTCATCTAATTATTTTTGAAAACATAAGGGCCACCATACCATGTATTCATTGCGGAACGTCTTAAGAGACGTCATTTCGGTTTTATAAATAATATCCCAAATACTTTTTTTGTATTTCGAATTGATCAATTAAGTAAAAAAGTTATTTTTAATCGGAAATTTTGCAGCAGTCAGTCTAGAATCACCTTTATTTGGAATTCCTACCATTTATTTAAACTTTTTAATAATAATAATAATAATAATAAACTTTATTGGAAATCCACAAGGCTAACGACTTTCGTCTTCCTGCCCAATTACAATTTTGTATATAACAAATACTATATATTTTAATTTATGTTCTGTACTTTACAAAAAAAAAAATGTTATAATTAAATATATTGTTGATATCTTCATTAATCTTCTGTCAATTCCCTGAGTGAGTCATAATCTTTTTATTTTAGGCATCTGAGCTTGATGGAGGTGATGTAACACTTTGGTATAAAATTGGTAAACTATCAATAAAAGAAGGAAAGTTTAGACAGTCATCTTATGCATTTTCCAAGGTAAAATATTTTTAAATACAATACAATAGCAGCAAATCTTTATTATTTTTAGGGTTTAGAATGTAGCGAGTCACACTGGCCCTGTTTGGATAATTTAATATCAGTATTATTTGCAATTAGAGATACAGTGGGTTGTTTGTGTTACATTACAAAGGCATTAATCAAGGATGCAGATTATACCAAGGGTTTAGTCATAAGAGCACAAATATATAGAGACAACCCAGGCACAAAGGATTATTATAAATTATATAATCCTGACCAGTAAGTCATAATATACCAAGGGCATACTCATAATGGCAGGGTGTGATTACCTAGGTTTTGTGAAGAAAAGTTTGTATGAACTTAAGTATGAGTTGATATGAACATATATCCTTAATGGCTTACATTTACAGGTTTAAAAAAATTTAAATTGTAAAAAATATTAAAGGACAGGTTTGCAGGGATGCCCCTGACTCCTAAAATATGTACTTTAATATCCTAGGAGATATAAAAAAGTTAGGCTATTAACTCTATTATAAGGTGGCCAATTTTAGATTTTCAAAAACCAGGACAATATTAGATTTTTGGATAATGATAATGATAGCATCAATAATTATTGACACACATAGGTTTAAATAAAACAATATTTATTATCAAGTTTGCCTGTATGTGAACAAAATTATTGAATACATTTATTTTTGAAATTATACTTCTTGGATGAATGAATTGAGAAGAGTTTTCATTGCCCTTTAGGACTTTGTAAAACTCATTACAGCTGTATTCTAGATTGGTTTTTACCATTAAAAAAGCTTTAAAAGTGTCTATGCCAGTTAGTTGCTTCAGATATTATTCATGTTGGAAAAGAACTTTCCCATAAGAATAATGTTATCAAAAATGTCGTTCTGTTTAAGATGTTGTTAGATTTTTTTGTTGCTTAGAAATCTTCATATAGCACATATTTCATCAAATAGTCGTTGATTTGTACATGTGTAAAATGGTTTGTGACGTATTGAGTGCATGGGCAGATGTCTTTTAAATCAAAAACTTATATCAAATGCACAGACATTACAATTTGCCGTTTTCTTTGTATACGGTATGTGAGATATATGCCGGGCGTATGTGGAAAAACAGGTTTTTGACATTTTAAATATACGAGCAATCTACAACGAATGGTGGCCGAGTCCCGCCAACGTGAGGATAAACCGCAATTTTAAAGTAAAATGCAACCAAATTAACGTCGGAAAATACATATTAAGAATATACTGCCCAGTTTAACTCAAAACCAGGACATGTACTGGAAAAGTTTTCCAGGAATTTTGACCAGAACAGAGGTGCTAAAAAAAGTACTGTCCTGGAAAAAACAGTATGGTTGGTCACCTTACTTTATTAAATGAGTCCTGCCTCTTTTTCCAACAAATATAGATTTCAATATGTTTATAAAAATTAAATTTGTAGTATTTGGGAGCCACCACTGGATGTTACTATAGATAAAGAGGAGGAAAAATTGTATCTGGAAGAAGCTGATGAATTAAGGCAAAAAGTTTTAGAAATAGAAAAATCTTTGGCCCCAAAACCATTACAAGTTATACCATTACCAAAACCATTGGAAGATTTTACATGGTTATCTCTTGCAAAAACAGTGGTTCATTTACACCAGTACATTACTGATAATGAAATGGTAAAATGTATTTTAATATTTTTTTTGTAATTACATTCTCAATTGTAAACATATTTGTGTGGATTTTTACCTCCCAAGCAGTGGCGAAGCGTGGAAATTAAATTAATAACTACGCTGGGCTACTGCTGTAGACAACAATAATTTTGTCTAATAGCGACCTATCTCGGCCGGTTTTTCGTTCGATTACGCTAGATCTCGGCTATTGTTATAGCAATGACTATAGGTTGTCTATTAAAAATTGGATAAAAAATCCGCAGTTCTTAAATGAAAAAAAAACTAAAAACCTCTCAAAACAAAAATCTTTATAACTTTTTTTATTCCTGGGAATTTTGAAAAACGTAAGTTTTTTATATAAACATTTACCTACATTTTCATCCAATTTGTGATTTTTTTGGCTACTGGATTTTGAGATACCACACCATCTTTTGTTTTTCCTATGGCTGCCATACTAAAATTTTACATTAGTTAAAAAAAAACAAGGAATCTAACAATGTATTAAATTACATAGGTTATGACAGCCATTATAAAAACAAAAGATGGTGATGGTACCTAACTCAAAACATAGTAGCGAAAAACTGGATGAAAATGATTGTATGTTTACATGTAAAATTTACTGTGTTTTAAAACTCTCAGGATTCCTGAGTCAGGAATAACAAAGTAATAAGGATTTTTGGTTTTTACTTTTTGAAATATTTTCAGAACCGCTGGCTTTTTTCTAATTTATAAGTTTCATGTTAATAGGCTTGTAATTACGCAACGTTTCTGTAATTTAACCGACCTTATAGCTCTTCAAATAAAAAAAATACCCATAGAAGTTTACTTGAAAAAAAATAGTCACTGACTATTTTTTTTCAAGTCTTCTATGGAAACATGTTAGTGCTTCATGTTTTAAGAGCTCCTTCCAAAAATTAGCTTCATTAAAATTTTTCGCTAACGATTTTTAAAAATTTTAAAAATAGTCAAAGTTTTTTAACACAAAAAATGAATAAGTTTTTTAAAACTTTACTTCAAAATATGAATTTTCTGGCCTTAAATGTTAATATTAGGACTTCATATTATAATGAACAAAAATACATTATTAAAAGACTGTGTGATTCCCCCTACATTTTTAGTTAACAATTTTTGCACGAGACTTGAGTACTTTGGAAGTACTCGAGTACACGGGAAAGTACTCGAGTACATTTTTGCAATCTAAAATGTATTAACTACAAGTATAAGTACATTCAAATTAAAGCACTCGGGACTGAGTACCAAGTACACTGAAAGTACTTGGAGTAGTGTTTGAGTACTTGTACTAGAGTACCGGGTATATGTATATAAAACACAAATAACAAATAAACTTTGTTGATATTGATAATGTGACGCGCGCGGAGAAAAAATCCTAAGCGTCCAAAAATCGATTTCTAGATTATGATCGTTATAGACTATAGAGTAATTAATAACCGCTTTTTAATTATCTGGTCAGAAATAATTTTCCTTGAATATTTTGCATCTAACAACGCGTTAAACATTCTCGGTTTCTGCTGGCGTCTAAAGCGCTCGCCTGTTCTTTTCCTTCCCTAAACTTATGTTTAAGTTAAGATTATGATCGTTATAGATTAATTAAAGACTTATCTTTAATTATCTTAAGTTGGAAATAATTGTACTTGAATATTTGGCATGAAGTAACATTTATAAAATTAACGCTGGGAGCACGTTACATATCAATATTCAAAATTATAATTGCATTGCATTTTTATTGCATTTTTATTTAAGTTTTTTTTCTTGGATTATTTGCCCTTATATTTAACTCAAACGTATTAGATAATCGGCGAAACCATAGTAATCCTAAGATATCCTAATCATAATCACAATCGTAATCGTTGCATCACTACTTACAACTTAAAAATTTAATACAAAAAAATGTTTTTTTGTGATTAGGTATATTAATTCTTATAAAGGATATAATAATGAAATGGTAATATTTAAATTTAATTTAATATTTTAGAGTCATTTTACAATGTTTGATATGAGTAAATGCATGAGCCAAACAGAACCTATGCCTCAAAAAAATCCTGTAGATATTGACACTGTAGAAACAAAGGATCAAAAATCTCCTGAGCCAAATGAATCCCAGCAAGAACTACCCCCGCCAGCTCCAATTGAGGAAAAAATGGAAGTGGAAGCTATTATAGAGAGAAGGTTTTCGCAAACCAGTGAAACTAATACCAACAATGATGGGCAGGAGCATACTCCTGTTCAAACTGACAATGATGAGGTAATTTAAAAACTATTTGATATTTGAATCAGTGATGTAAAATATAGTTAATAAATAATATTTATTAAAATCTACTAACAGTAATTTAACAAAATTGTATTTTCAGGAGCAGGCAACAGAACAGGAAACTGAAGATCAAGATGAAAATGATTCAAAACTTGATAAAAGCAAACCAATTAGGGGAACAAAGAGAAAGAGAGATTTGCTTTCTGATTTGCAGATATGGGGTTGGCATAGTAAGAGGAAATGTACAAAAAAAGGAAACAAGGATAAAGATTTTTCTATTGAGGATGCTTTGAATAGAATAATTCCAAATTATTTATTGTAAGTATACATTTAGTATGTTTTATCATGATTTGATATTTATAACATAGTTAATTTTTAAATAAATTTTAATTACCCATTAAAAAAAATAGAAATGTCCTAAATGGTTTAAAGTAGGTATTGGTATATTTGTATTTGAAACAGTGGCGGTTTTTCTATAGGAGGACATAAGCACGTGAACCCCCATACAGAATTCAAAAGTAATAATAAAATGTTAAATTTATAATTTATATTCTTTTCCGAATCTGCTTGATAATTATTATGTTACCGTTCCTAAGCGCCTTAATAATTATTCCGCCTCGCGCGCTGAAGCATAAACGGAATGAAATAAACGAGCTTTGTTCTGGCGGGGGAATCGCGAATTTTAATTGGAAAACGCGCACACATTTAGTGTGCTCCAAAACCAGTTTGCCAATGATTGCCTCGTTTTAATCTCGTAATTCGTGGTGAGTTCCTGCGTTTAGAGATTTTATATAAGCTTTTAATATTAGTTATCTGTTGCAATAATATTTAAAAATTATTATGAACACTTGGTGGAGTACTAAGTTTAATAACTGCACACCATGATAAAATATAAATTAGCATTTTGTTCTTTCCTCAATACATAAAGTTAATTTTTTTTATTTGGACTCGTGTTTTTTTATTAAGTTGGTAGCTTATGCCAGTTTGATTTAGTATTTTTAGTATTTAAAAAATGGTACTTCTGCTAAAGACCTTAATTAAATACTGTCAATTGATTATTGATACTTAAATTTACTTGTTAATTATTATATAATATCAATAAAAAAATAATATCAGATTCTAAAGTAAAAGAACTTTTAATGGCAAAACTTTATTTCCATAAAGTTATGCCAAATGCCCAAATGGCAGAAAAATTACATTCCCTTACATTTTCGTAGTAAAAAAGTAACGTTTTTGGTTTTAAAAATATTAAATCACACATTATTTTCAGCTAAGCAGATCAAAAATTTTTGAAATTTAAAAGAATAAGGGGGAAATAAATAAACAAAAAATAAAAATTATTTGCTGTTATAACCTATAGGTTCAACCTTTTTGTGAAAAATCTAGTAGTTAATTTCCTGTCTTTAAAAATAGCATCCATTTGGATGGAAAAAAATAAGCAATAATCACACCTTTTTCTTCTATCAATTTGCAAGTTACTGATCATTAATAGACCTGGACAATATATAAATTATAATTATTATTAAGCCACTAAAAGTATTTACTTCCAGTGGCTTTAACAAAATACCCATTCACCATTGGAGTCCAATGATTGGACAACATTCACGTGTGTTCACATAAATTTTAATTTCTTTTATATAAACTATTTTTAAAGCGAAGATTATTATCCGCTACTAGCGGACCGCTAGGAATACTTTGTCTCTCCTGGGCCGTAATCACCTATATTTAACTACTTTTTTATATGACTTTACAACATCTACGCACCACCAAAACCAAATTATTATCCGCTACTAGCGGACCGCTAGGAATACTTTGTCTCTCCTGGGCCGTAATCACCTATATTTAACTACTTTTTTATATGACTTTACAACATCTACGCACCACCAAAACCAAATTAATTGCATTTTTAACTACGAAATTTGACAACTCAACTTGACAACCGTTCAATGTAACCTACAATAATTTAAACATAACCACAATTACATTATAATTCATCACTTAAATTTTTTATTTTGTTATAAATACATTAGTTACATTAATTTTAAATCCATTCCCTTATTTGTAAAATTAAAAATTAAGGGTTTAAATGAATAGCATTTAGTAGGTGTGGCTCGCCGTTTACCTTGAAGCAGGCACGTATCATTCAATCTCAGACATTTGAATTGTATATATATTTTTAAAGATGATATGCCGCGATAGGTATGTCGAAAATTGATAAAAAATTGATAAAAACTTATTATTGCTGTATCTGTGCCTTCTGGTGGGTGGTCTGTGATCTGGTCAAAATAATTATTTTGACCAAAATAAACATTCGGGATTATATTTAATTAATATTTAAAATAATTAATTTGACCAAAATAAACATTCGGGATTAAATTACGAAGAGGTAAAAAAATATTTAGCAAGGTACAAATGAGAAGATTTAATACCGAACGGTTACAGAAATATGAATTTTTATATTAGTAATTTCAATTTAAAATATAAACACATCCGTGAGGTTAGTTAACGGTTAAACTTTTTTTTATTATATAGCAAAAAACTAACAAAAAATCATTGAGTTAAAATATTTTTATTGATTTTTTTTAATAGAAATATTAAATATTAGCAAATCAAAATATTAAAACATTGATTTCTTGGCATTAAAAATTACTAATTTTTTGGAAAATTTTCATATTTTGCATAATAAAATTTAAAAAGAATTTTAAATTCACACGGCGATTTTATTCCGCTGTGAGGGTGGGTGATTCGTAACATTAATCGTTGTATTAATTCTAGAATACAATATAAAATTTTTTGCAGATTTATACTTGAAATGAGAGCTTCTAATAGCAATTCAGAAATTTTAAAAAATTCTAAAGATTTTGAAAAAAAAATTTTTAATATAGAATTATCAAAATCGCTCATCAAAAATTTTACCCTGCGGCGAGCTATGTGAATTATTAAAAATTTCTATACATAAATATCGAGTCAAATGTAGTTAAAACATTGATAAAGTTATTAAAAAAAAATTAATTTGCTGAAGTTTAACGGTTGTTGAAATATGAATTTTTATGCAAGATTTTAATTCCAAACGGAGAAGCGATTGTATTCCACTATGAGTGTGGGTGATTCGTAACATTAACCGTTGTATTAATTCTAGAATACAATCTAAAATTCTGATTTTTTGCAGACTTATACTTGAAATGTGAGCGCTTCTAATAGCAATTCAGAAATTTTAAAAATTTCTAAAGATTTTGAAAAAAAAAAATTTTAATATAGAATTATCAAAATCGTGCATCAAAAATTTTACCCTGCGGCGAGCTATGTGAATTATTGAAAATTTCTATACATATTGAGTCAAATGTAGTCAAAACATTGACACAGTTTAAAAAAAAAATGAAGTCGCTAACTTCAACTGTTGTTGAAATATGAAGTTTTATCCAAGAGTCCTGAAATGCCCGCTAGAATAATATAATAATTATATAAATATATATAATATTAATAATTATATATAATAATAATAATTATATATTATAATAATATAACTGGAAACAAAAGCAGGTAAGACAGAGAAAGCATGCTTAGGCAAGACAGAGTAAGCCTATACACGGTTTCAAATATCCGAGCACTGAACTAGTTCGGGATTAGCACCGCGAAAACACCTAATCTAAAAGATCTCTCTCGCGCTGCACAAAAGCATCAAATCTCAAAAGAACACACCTTTTCGGCCTTAAAATTTAAATTATTTGGGAAACAAAATATTGTTAATGCGCTAGATGGTGCTCGTCGTGAAATCATAGCCAAACATAATAACACAGTTCGCGAAAATAGATTAATGATTAAACATTTAATTAATATGATACTATATTTATCGAAACAAGAACTTGCTTTCCGCGGTCACAATCAAAAAGAAGATTCGTACAATCAAGGCATCCAAATTTTAATATACAAAAAAAAGTTTATATACAAAAGTGCTCTTTTAGTTCCACCCTTACTTCCTAAGAAGTCCCAGAAGCCAACTGAATGGCTTGTGCGGGTTAGGGGTAGGAACGGACCGCGGGCTTAAAGTCCCCTCCGAAGGACTATTACACAATAGGACAAACACAAATAAACAAGGATTCGAACCCATCCGGCTTGTAGTCAGCAGCACTAACCACTAGTCCACCGAAATCGACAGTTTTTAAGGGATTGTCTAAAACTAAGATGAACTAATTGCTTCGATCGTTAAAATAGTTGTAAACAAAATTAAGGAAGAAGTTAATAAAACGGAGTTTTTTTCATGGGAGGTCGATGAAACAACAGACATACTATGCTCTTCTCAAATGTCTGTCATTTTTCGATTTGTTCACGAGGGAAAAGTTATCGAGCGTTTTATGGGATTTTTTTGTGTGACGGCCATAAAGCGGAAGACTTTTTTAATGTACTAATTCAAAATTCCAACCATTTTAATTTTACGCAAAAATTAATTGAACAAACCTATGATGGGGCCTCTGTTATGGCAGGGGAACTAAATGGTTTGCAGTATAAAATAAAATCAGTAGCTCCTCAAGCCTTGTATACTCATTGTTATGCCCATAAATTAAATTTGGTTTTGCAAGGTGCATAAAAAAATGTGAGGCAGTGCAGGATATTTTTTTCGAATATTAGCGGATTTTCTCCTTTTTTTTCAAAATCAAAGAAACGAACCTATCTTTTAGACACAATTTGTAGAAAACGATTGCCTACTAATTCCGAAACCCGCTGGAATTTTAAATCTCGTTACAGAACTAGTTCAATTTCAGTTTAATTTTCACCCAAACTGATACAATTTTTTCTATAATTCAACAATACAATTTTTCTATAATTCAACATAAATTGTCAAATATTAATATTTACAATTGTAATGAAAGAATTCAGACACTTTTAGTAACTTTGAGACAATTTAGAAACGAAGAGCAATATTGCAGAAATAACAGAAATTTTACCCCCTACTCTTAGACGGCGAAAGAGAGATGATATCCCAGGCGCAGATAGTTCACTTTCTTATATTTCTTATAAAGGATTATTTTATGAAATTTTGGATTTAATTAATCAAATCGAACTTCGCTTCAGTAATATTTCACTTTTAAGGTTTTTTGATCTTTTAACTGTTTAACTTGATTGACTTTTTAATTCACAGATATCCAAATTTGTTTAAAAAAGAAAAATTGCAGAGAGAACTTGTAAGTATTTTATTCAAATCCTGGTATTTTCGGTACTTCTTCACACTTCAAAGATATAACTGAATTTATTTATAAAAATGAATTAATCGACGACGTTCCCGAAATTTATAATTTTTTGTGTCTCGTGCTTTCTATACCAGCAACATCTGCCTCCGTGGAAAGAAGTTTCTCCGCGTTAAACCGAATAAAATCATTTTCTCGAAATACTATGGGTCAATCGCTTTAAATAATCTGTCTATCCTCGCAATAGAACGCTCGCTTGTAAAGTATTTGTCCAAAACCGATTTTTTTTATGAAAACGTTATTGTTGAATTTTCCTTCTCAAAAAATAGAAGAATAGATTTAATTTACAAGACTGAATAATCAATATTTTATTTTTTAGTACATTACTTTTTGTTTATTTTTGCAGACATCTTCTGCAGTATTCGTTAAGTTTTATTTTATTTATTTATTTTATTTTATAAGAATGCTATTTTGTTTTTAAAAATTGTTTTTGTTTTATCTTTAAATATTTTACTTTTAATTACTAACACTCTTAATGAGAGTCCCTCATCATTCATACTAACAGAATAACCTTCCCCGTTATCCTCTCCTGGCAAGAAACACTTTAAACCAGGGTGTTGGTTCTTGCTGGACGATTTATTATTCTTGCGTACAATTGCATGGATTGAAATATTAAATTGACAAATTAGAGTAGTTTCTTTTTCTTTTACTATTAGGAATAAGAAGGACCTTTGCAATATAAGCCACGCCTTTTCTTTTTTAAACTTGAGTGGTTGCATGCTTAAAAACTGTTTATCACGTCCATTTTCAAAACTTCGGGCTTCTTACCCACTTACCACGCTTGATCTAAAGGAGCCCCCTTCAAGCAAACTGTGGACCCGCCACTGAGCTGGCCTACCCAGTTTTAACAAGCACAAGCCGCCACTGCTAATGTCATCACTTAAACACTTTCATGTAATGTTTACCCCTTTTGCACTTTTTTTAAATTCTCTCTGGAAATTTAGTAGCTTTTGAAGTTCCATATATAATAAACATTTGCCTTAAGTAGGTAAATTGATCAAGTGTGGGCTGTACAATCTACGTTTAAAGTCGCGAGCTTTCTTTTGCGAAAGCGTCGAGTCCAATATTACGCAGCGTACACTCGCGTGTTTCTTCGTATATTACACTGTTTTAATTCTTAATAAATTGCGCTTTGAATAGATATACTTTTAAAAAACTTAAATAACAAATTAACAGGCCCAAAAGGGTTAAAATGTTATTTTTAAGGAATCGTCGAAATGTTGTAGATTGTCCAATTTACTTAAGGCAAATAGTTATTTTATAGCAAAATTTGTAGAGAGCCTTTTTCTTAATGTGTAAAATATCATGATTTTATTAATACTAAAATATTTCTTTTATATTATATTTAAAGAGAAAATAAAATCACAAACAAACCTGTGAGTTGTACGGAAGATTCAATGAACACAATGGATCTATATAAGCTTTATGTTGAAGACAACGAAGTAAACCTTTTGTCGCCCATATCTTCACCAAAATCCGGAAATCCGTAAGCATCTACCTTTGTAAAATTAACGTTAATTTATTTTTCATATTTTAATAGCGAACCATACTTTGGCACAAATGATGAAAGAGAAGATGTTCAGCAATTGTGGACAAAACCTCGTCCCTATACTGATGCAATTGTATTAATAAAAGATTTTGTGATATCAATTTCCAAATTCTGGAATCACAAATGGACTAAAGAATTGATTTCCTTATATGTTAGTGCTTATAGCATGTACAGGTAATTTTGTAGTATTTACATTTAAAAACATTTTTTAATATTCATAATATTCTAGAGAGCATTATGATTTACCACAAGTGTTTTGTAATGATTCGTCATTTGAAGAAATTCGGGATGATGCATTGGCAACTTTGCTATATGGAGAACTTTTACATTTTACAGAAGAAAGGTAATAGGAAATTATAGCTTTACCTCTTTAAAAGTTTATTTAATGTTTTATTTTAGAAATGAGCAAATGCATATTTCTTACATTACCTTTTTACAACATGTAAGTGGATGGAGTGAATGTTGGAAAGAAGAATATTCATCGTTTTTTAATAGAGTTTATTGGTTAAGAGCTCATTTGTTTAGAATGGAACATGATAACGATTTGGCTGAAAGGGCTTTACAATTGGTGAGTTCTTGGGAAATTTACACAGTATTGTTTTTTCAGAAAAAATAATGAGAAAGGGTATACAATTAACTAAAAAATCATTCAAAAATATTTGTACAAGATTTTGTAAACAGTTTAGCAGCTTTTGAAATACATAAACGTTATTCCAATTAAACTAAATTAAGAATGATATTATGTGTTAAGAGATTTTTTAACGACTTTATTTTCTCACATCTCACCAAGGGGTGGGGGGCGGGGTCGAAAAATCGCCAAAATTGCCTCACGTAATTAATGGATGCCCCCTAACAAGGAAGAATATAAAATTTGCTTGCAAAGTCTTTAGGTTTGGAGATACAAAAAGTCGTGTCAATGTTTAAGTCCCTTAAAAGTATAACCTATCAAAATTTAAACAAAACAATTAATTTTTTATAGCTAGCTTGACGTGCAATGCGGCATTGCCAATGCCCCATATCATACAAAAAGAAAATGAAGCATTTCAAAAATGGTCATTACTGTATTTACCAAAATACTTTTTAGTTAAAAAATCTATTTAAAATTTTTATTTAAAAAATATATTTTGCTGGAATCACTGCTTAAAAAACTGCATCAAAAATTTTATAATACTATAAATATAAAAAATATTTTTTTCTACGCTTATTGCGGAATATGACCGTTCTAATATCAGTTTTTAATGTTGAATTAAGTAAATTCCATAAAGATTTTAAAGCCCGGGTTTCTGTGTGAGAATAATTTGGACCAATCGGGTATTTGCAAACTAAGAACAGTTGTAGAATAAAGTGAGGTTAAAAAAATCTGACGGTTTCTGTCAGATTGGTTTTACCTCACTTTATCCTTCTGCTGACAACTAAAAACAGCTGCATTCGATGAATCTTATCCCCGCATTCATATATGGCTATAGCCATGTGTCGCTCGTCCGGTTATCCACCGGCGCCTCAGTGAATTTTTTTGCTTGTGTTTTTTAAAGTATTTTTATTGTCTTTTAACCAAATTTATTTAGTCTAATTGTGACCGATACGGATGGTAAATTTAAAAGGATCCTGACTAATAGTGACAATGACACAAACCCAATTGCTTAATACACTGTAGGGACCTGCAAAATACACACGAATACGCCGGGACACGTAAACCTAATTTTGGGTCGTAGAATTTAGTGGTGTATTCCGTTTTGTAGGTTTGCTTGTTTTCTCAAGATATTTTAGATTTAAGTTTGGGTACACAAACCCAATGGCTTAATACACTGTAGGGACCTGTAAAATACACACGAATACGCCGGGACACGTAAACCTAATTTTGGGTCGTAGAATTTAGTGGTGTATTCCGTTTTGTAGGTTTGCTTGTTTTCTCAAGATATTTTAGATTTAAGTTTGGGTACTTTTTGGTTCACATGTTTGCAATATTTTGCTTATTTGTAAATGATTATGTATGTTTTCATTAACATTCCGTTAACATTAGCCTTGACATTGACCTTGCAAGGTTTAATTCCAAGGTCAAATCTATCTAACAGCGGTTTTCAGACGTTACTTATCGCACATGGGCGACAACAGTAAGCAGTAAAACCTTAATTCCAAGATAATAGCTGCATTTTATTGCCCATTCTCCCTATTCTCCCATAAATGAATGGTTGTTTTTTTGAGTCACAGAATGATTCTTCTGTCATTAATGTCATTCCGATGATTCCTTACTTTTGTTTGGAATCTTCAGAATGAGGCAGAGTGGGGGGATATTCCCCTGAAAAAAGTGCATTTAACAACCGCCAATTTTAAAAACTATTATGGTTTATAATAAACCCAGCAAGTAATAACTGTGCGTTATCCATATTTTTAAACTTTTAAAAGAAAATTGAGGTCACAATCCACACAATTGGTTATTAGGTTCATAAATTCCCCCACCTTTGGCAAAGTGACAGGGTTCAGAATGAATTTGCAAACGGGAATCATTCTGTTTTTATTCCATTCCACTTTCAATAAAATGCGCCTAAAGACCGTTAAAGATTTTTGAATAAATTTCACACATTTGTAAAATTATGTTAACTTACAGTATTTCCTTTGCAAAGAAAGAACCACACTAAAATTCTGAGCCAGTTAAAAATTAGATTTTATAAAATACTCTTTTTGAATAAGAGTTATTTGTAGATATTTCTGTGTTGCCGAAGAAGGTGTGTATCAATTTTGGAGATATGTCTGTGTTGCTGAAAATATGTGCATGAATTTTGCACATATGTCTCTGTATTGCTAAAAATGTGTTGATCAATTTTTTAATTATTTATTCTTTTATTGTTGATTATGAACGTATGACTGGCCCCATCGGCAACACCTTACACTGATTTCCCGGGGTTATTTTACCCTCTTTCAGTTCTACTACGTGGATCCGAATTTCACCCCTACAGGTAAATCTCGCCTAGGAGGTCGTAGATGACAGTGTCGATGGTTAAGGTCACTCCCGGTATTTTGTCGCCGTGCCGGGCTATACGCCCGATTTTTTTGGCTCGTGGAGTTTGTGACAAGAAAGGAAAACATTTTGATTTTTGGGGGACGATAGACTGACCCAAAACTAAGTACAATCCGGAATCCCCTAGTCCCAGCATTTAGTAATACCCACATTAAATTGGGGTTCCTGAATGGGGATTGGTTGGTTAATACGATGTATGGGCCTATCGTGCTTCTTATGGAACTTCTTGTTCGCCTGCGTCCGTGTGACTGCTAAAATTATGATGCAAATTCGGAACCGCTTTAGAATTGTTTGCCCCACTTTGCGAAAACTAAATATTCTCTTCAGTACCGACGTGTTGCCGTCCAGGACGAGCCGTTCGCAGTGCCCCTCTACCTTCGTGGAAAATTCAACTGTTCATTCCAAGTACTGACTTAAGACTAAATCGGTAACGGTGTCAATTATCTACCCCACTGTGTGGTCATCCAGAATTACATTTTTGGTTGGTTACCTAATTTTTGGCCGTGCATTGTAGTCTACAGATTTTTATTTCTTAAGGGCGAGATTTTGGCAATACCTTATGCACTTGACTGATTAATTGTTTATGTGGGGTGTTTTTTTATTGCGGGATTGTTGTTTTGGCTATGCTTGCAGTTTTTTTGTAAACTGTTGTGTCGACTAATGGTTAATTACCTGGAGGAGTTCTTTGTTTGTTGCTGTTGCGAAATTTGCGTTATTATTAAGTATGTTTTTGTAACGGCAGGTTTGCTCTAGTATTGCCTAGTTTGTATGTGATTTGTCGAGTTTCGGCTGTTATTTCTGTTTCCCGCTAAGTTCTAATCTTAGTGTGAAACAGCTGGTGAGCCAAGGATGCCACTAGGTAATTACCAGGAGAAAGGATTTTAACTGCTACTGTATATTCTGTTGTGTGCACTATTTCCATCACGTATTGTTGATTTATTGGGTTGGGTCCCTTGTGTCAGTTTAGGTATTATTAGTTATGACCTCTTAATTAGGTAGAGTTGTATAAAAAAGTTTATATACACTGACTGCTACTGTATATTCTGTTGTGTGCACTATTTCCATCACGTATTGTTGATTTATTGGGTTGGGTCCCTTGTGTCAGTTTAGGTATTATTAGTTATGAGTCATAACTTATGACCTCTTAATTAGGTAGAGTTGTATTTATCCAATGTTTGCTTTGTTATTAGTCTTTGTTAATGGGGAAGGCCTTTTTGGTTGGATTTCTAAATGTATGGTCTGTTAGTTGTTGATGACGAGTGTTTTTTTGTATGGAGCTTTTAACGTGCTTGAGTGGAAAGTACTTTGGTTTAAATTCTTGACTTTTCTCTACTTAGCTGTTTTCTTTACTATTTTATTTTAACTAATTTTAACCTGTTGGAAAAAAGGTATCCCCCTGTCCCTAGTCCCACTCTTGCTTCGACTTGTTGTTGTTAAAGTTTGTGCTTCTCACTTATGCGTATCCGTATTGATTTTTCAATATACAAGGTGTCCCTAAACTTATTGGCATAAATTTAGGTAAAGATTGAGCAAGTCAAAATAAGACGAAAACCTAAACAAATATTTTTCCTAATTACTTATGTTTCCAAGATACAGGGTGATAAAGTGTTACTTATCATATCAGTTTTTTTTAATATAACTTCTACTATGGTAGTCTTTGAAAGGTGATATCTTGCGAACAGTCACTTCCCGGACAACATTCGTGATAATCATACGAACATCACGTCGTGATTTTCACAAATTTTATTCATACGGACATCATCCGGATGTCACTGCGTGAGAAATAAAAATCATGTCGTGATTTTTTATGCCATCGCTGTTTGCGATTGACCGATGGCACAAAAAATCATTTTGTGATTTTTTATGCCAACAGTGTTTGGATAATTATTTTTGCGCCACGTTCGTACACTAAGAGAAAAATTATGTTGAATCAACAGTTTTTGCGGTTAAATACATTTAATATTTTCTTGGATTTAAATTAACTATATATATTTAATTTAAATCCAAGAAAATATTGAATGTTAAATTGTTAATTTAATTGTTAACATACTTTTTCTTTCAATGTACGAATGTGTCGCAAAAATGAATATCCAAACACCGATGGCATAAAAATACATGTCGTGATTTTTTATGCCATCGGTGTTTGGACATTTATTTTTGCGCCACATTCCTACATTGAGAGAAAAAGAATACCTACATATATATTGAATCAACAGTTTTTGTGGTTAAATAAAAACATTCAATATTTTTTTGAATTTAAATTAATAGTTAAGTTACATTCAAGAAAATATTAAATGTATTTAACCGCAAAAACTGTTCATTCAATTGTTAACATACTTTTTCTTTCAATGTACGAATGTGGTGCAAAAATAAATATCCAAAGATGTCGGTGCACCGATGGCATAAAAAAATCATGTCGTGATTTTTTATGCCCAAACACCGATAGCATAAAAAATCATGTCGTGATTTTTTATGCCATCGGAGTTTGGATATTTATTTTTGCGCCACATTCGTACATTGAGAGAAAAAGAATACCTACATATATATTGAAT